CAGGGAGGTGCGTAGGAGGAGGAAGGGAATGTTCTCCTGGGGATGCCAAAGGCCTTAGGATCGTCTTGAGTGGGAGGCCAGGGAGCATGGCTGCAGCGTGGGGCTGGTGGCAAGGCACAGCCCCCCTGCACATGTTCCCATCCAGCAACCAAGCTGCTCTGCTCACCACCTGTTCCTCCGCCTTTGCTTTTCAGCGGCACAGAGCCGAGAGCTGGGAGAGTCCTTGCAGTCCCTGCCCCCAGCCCCTGGGAACTGGTGTTGTCCCTGTGGGAGGGTCTGGTCCTGGTCTGGGTGGGCTCTGAGGGCTTGTGTGCTGGTGGTTCGGGGGTGCTGGAGGAGCAGCTGGAACCTGGGGTGGGAGTGGGGAGTGCTGGGGCTGGGGCTGCCCTGGGCATGGGGCACGGCCAGGATGGCTGAAAGAAACGGGGATCAAGGTGGGGACGGGGAGCGAGCTGCGGGGCTGCCCCGCTCTGCACTGACACTTCTGGGACAGGAACGGAATATCCTCCAACAATCTTTTTTTCATTTTGGTAATGTCTACGGTACCACTGAGATATAATCTGCACAAGTGTCTGTGTTTCCAGATGCACTAAGAGCATTGTTCATAGCTGGACCACTATGTTTTGGGTCCCACCTTGGAACAAGGCTGTATTATCCCTGTCATGGGATGTGTTCAGGGTCTAATATGGGCTGAACAACTCTCCCTCTGATCATGCATTACTTTCACTTTCCTTTTCAGAGAAACAAGCTGCAGAGCTGGGTGAGTGTCCTGGTGCTTCGACACATGGCTATGCCAAGGCAATGTGAGGGGAGGGTGGGCAGCTGGGACAGAGCAGCCCAGGGCTGGCCCCGCACCCTGCCCACACTCACTGGGCACCAGCCATGGGCTGTGACCAGCTCTCCCCTCTCCTTCCAGCATGGAGACGGTGTCTGCTGCCTCATAATAGAGGTAGGTGTGCATTGGGTAGCCCTCTGAAGTGCTTCTCCTGCCCTTGGTGGGGCATGTTCAGGAGCCAAGAGGTGCCCCATCTCCTGCCCCGTGGGGCAGCTCCTGGTCCCGAGCTGGGGAAAGCCTGCCCAGGGCTGAGCTCTGCCCCTGATGGCCTGGCTCCTTCTGTCCCTGCAGTGAAGGTGACCCTGGATCCACACACGGCTCATCCCTGGCTTGTGGTGTCTCAGGACAACAGCAGTGTGAGATGCGGAAGTGAACGGCAGCAGGTGCCTGACACACCAGAGAGATTTGACTGTCAGTGCTGCCTGCTGGGCCGTGAGGAGTTCAGAGAGGGGAGGCACTGCTGGTTGGTGGAGCTGGAGGTAGAGCGGCTAAAGTATTCACGGTGGGCTGTGGGGGTGGCCAGGGCTTCTGTGGAGAGAAAGAAGTGGATCAACATAATCCCTGAAGAAGGGATCTGGGCTCTGCAGTACTATGAGGGGCAGCTCAAGTCTCTCACATGGCCTCCCACTCCCTTGTCCCTGTCCCATGTTCCCACAAGGATTTGGGTCTGCCTGGACTGTACCCAGGGGCAGGTGTCTTTTATCAACGCTGACAATGGGGTCCAGATCTTCACTTTCAAAGCAGCCTCCTTCAATGGGGAGAGCCTCCACCCCTGGTTCCTGTTGTGGACACGTGGAATTCAGCTGTGCCTGAGAGATAGCACACTACCGACCCCATCCCGAGGCCTTGGGACCTCCTGCTCTTCTCCAGACACTCCTGCATCACCTCTCCTTCATACTGCAGGAGCAGCACAGGAATGAGGGGCAGGGGTTCCCTCCATTCCTCCCTGCTGCTGGAGGAGGGCTGGGATACTGCAAGCAGGAACCAGGCCCCTTGCAGCCCCTGGGCTCTGCCCTACACGCGGCTCCTGTGCTGGGGCACAAGCCCTGATGGTACCCACGGGTCTCACCCTGCCTCTGACCCCAGCGGGCAGCACAGGGGCTGCAGCCGCTCTCCACGCTCCTCTCCCCTCTGCTTGCACTGCTTGCAGACCCCAGGACAAGGGATGTGGTCACTGTGTTCTGCTGGCCAGTGCAGGCCACATTTGCCTCCTAGTTCGGGGTTGATCCTTGCTCTGTGCCTGGTGCTGAGCATGAGCAGCCTGTGGAGGCTCTTTGTTCCCTCCTCTGGAGCACATCAAGGCCCAGCAGCAACAGGACTGTGTCAAATAAAGTTTTGTACAGGAAGATGGAGTCTGGCAGTGGCATTTCCTGGGTGCTTTGTGTCCTGAGGCCTTGCTGCCTGGGAAGGCGTCTTGCAGCAGACCTCTCCTTGGTGTTGGTCCTGGGAGTCATAGCCGGGAGGAACCAAAGCACCAACTGCCCCTTGGTTCTCCATCTGTTGCCTGGCACCCCCTTTTCCCATCTGGGTCATTGTCCTGCCCTGGGCTAGACAGGGTAATGACCCAGCTGGGACAAGGGGATCCCCAAGAGCTTCCATCCTCCCATCACACAGGCTCGGTTGAGGTTCTGCCTGCAGGGGGGGCATCACCAGCTTTTTGAAGTCCTCCAAGAAGAGGCAGCACATGGCGTCAACCTTAAAGCTGTCCATCAGCTCCTTTCAAGCCACCTCCATGTCCCATATTTCCCTTCCACCACCCAAGGTGTTCCCGTGGCTGTTTTATTTTCCACTGCTCAGGGCAGGGTTCAGCCAGAAATGGGCTTGCAGGAGCCATGGGGCCACCCCAGCTTCACCAACCCTCAGCAATCAATAACAATCCTGCACTCCCAGAAAACCAGTGCCACTTTTTGCACCTTGTTTAAAAGCAAGCAGGGAAACAAGCTGACATTCTCGACCCAAATTCATTGCGGTGTGTTTTAAACATCGCAACATTAAAATCAGGAGTAGACACAGTGCAGAAACAGGGGAAGGAAATGCGTTCGGAAGACACTGCATCCAACAGAAGCAGGTGATCCAAACAGACCAAACCTCAGTGAGAGGGAGCCTCCGTGGCTGCAGGACTCCCTTGGCCTCTTCGAAGGTTTAACTATATGAAGGTGGGAAGCTAAGAATAGGTTTTGAACCCAGCTACACAATGAGGAGACACAGATGCTCTCCTCCAGCTGGTTCTCAATGCCAAGCTGAGTGGTCTCCACACCCAACCACCCATCTTCATGCACGTGGGGTCTCACCATCCCAAAATCCCATCATCCTTCATCCCATTGAGATCCCACCATCCTCACACCCCATCCTCTTTAATCCCAGCAGGGTCCCATCATCCCAAAACCCCATTGTCCTCCACTCCAGTGGGGATCCACCACCACAAACCCCATCCACCTTCACCCCAGTGGGGTCTCATCATCTCCAAAACCCCATCATCCTCCATTCCACTGGGCTCTCACCAACCCCAAACCTCAAAACCCTCCACCCACTGCTGTCCTACCATCCTCTCAGCCAATTATCCTACATCCCACTGGGCTCCCACCATCCCCAAAGCCATCCCAGGGCCAGGGACTGACTGACCAACACGTTCCCTAAGCGCTACGAGAAGCTATGCCATGACCACCAGCTGCATGACTGGTCCTCCTCAATTCACAGATGTAATCTTCAGAGGGTTGTTTGGGAAGAACAGTAAAAGTTAGGCTCCACATGGCTTTTCTGGTGGAGGAGGAGGGCTGAGGGAACAGTGAAGCCCATTCCGCAGTCAGGGCACTGATGGGGTTTCCCTACCAAGTGCTTTTTCCAATGTTGGTTGAACACCGAGCTTTCAGAGAAGGCGTCCCCACAGTCAGAGCAGGGATAAGGGGGTTGTCCCCGGTGAGTCCTGAGGTGGGCTAAGTAGACTGAATTCTTTGCAAGGCTATACTGCACTGGGGACATTTATAGGTCACCCAGCCTGCCCGCTGGCAGGACAGAGCAAGAAGCTGAGAATTCCTTGGCTTGGTGTAAGCACTGCTCTGCAACAATTGAAACATCAGCATGTTATCAGCACTCTTCTCATCCTAAGCCAAAACATAGCATTCTACCAGCTACAAGGAGGAAAATTAACTCTATCCTAATTGAAACCAGGACAGGATTTCATGATGACATCAGCCAGTTTTCTTAGTACTCTGGGATGAATCCCATCAGGCCCTATAGTCTCCACCTGTAGGAGCAAATTGCATGCTAATTCAGGATTTGCTGGGAGTTTGTCATTCCTGCTCTCACGGTCCTCCAGCTCAGGGTAACTGGGGTCACAGAGCCCATTGTCAGTGTTGAAGACAAAGGCAAAAAAAGCATTAAACATGTCCCTGTTTGTGAGGAGACCATCCCCATCAAGTAAAGGACCACTGTTTTCTCCATTTCTACTTTTGCTGTTTAGATATTTTATAAAACTCAGTTTTATTTCCCCCAAAAGTTCTGTCAAGCTTCAACTCAAACTGAGCTTTAGCCATATGAATTCACCCTGATAAGGATTAGGGCAGCAGATTCTGAGGCATCACATAGTTCCTTAAAGAACAGTTCATCCATGTCATCATCCTAGCTGCATGCAGAAGCTGTCCCTCTGGTCCTTGGAAGCCATTTCCACACCAAAGTCTCCACAGTGCTGCAGAAGGGCTTTGCTTGCCAGAGGGCAAAAGGTCTGCCCATTTCTGCCTCCACTGGGATGGACAGAGCCGGGAGTGGGGCTGGCTCTTTGTCCCCACCACCCTGGGAAAAGGGTGGCACTGAGATGCTCGGCAGCCAGCTGTGCCTCTTTCCCTGCAGCCTCCGATGTCGCTCTGCCCTGCAGCATCTTGCACCCATCCCCCAAGGGTCAGGGCTCCTCCCAGATGTTTACTGCAGGCAAGAGCTGAGCACAGGTCGGTGAAGTCACGTGTAGCCTTCTAGTTCCTGCAGCTATGACGGGTGCTGTGAGGGGCGACTATTTTGGTGAGACTGCCTTGGAGAAGAACACCTGGGGCTGCCTTCTGTGTCCCCCAGCCCATGATAAGCGCAGGCTCTGTGCCCTGCCTAAGGCACTGCTGGCCGTGGCTCCCTGTGCCCAGGCCTGAGGCCCCTCAGTACCTTACTCTTCTACTCCCAGATCCTGCTCCAGCTGCAGCACAGATGGGGCTCCCCTGGGGTTGCGGCCGCCCCAGCCTCACCGGCCATGCCAGCGGCTTCCTGACTTCCCTCATCACTCTGCACCTTCTCCAGCTGGGCTCAGGTAGGATCCTGCAGGGATGCTGGGGGCTCTCGCCCCTGTGCATGCAGATGTGCTGCCATAGGGCAGGGGAGAAGCTCCAGGGTAGGGGGACCAGAGCCCATAGCTCGGTCCCTGCTGGGTTTCACTTTCCCTTTGGTTCTTTCACACAATATGGGCGCTGCCTTGACTGCCATTTTTGGCATCTTCTTCTCCTGCCCGAATGCTGCAGAGAGGGCTCCCACTCCCAGCACACCTCCTTCTCCTGCACGTCCTCCCTCTCCCTCTCCTGTTTCCCGGGTGGTTTCCCATGAGACACGGGGGACGCAGCACGCACCAACTCACACACCAACTCACGCCCTTTGTCACTCACAGCCCCTAAATTTACAATGGCAAAATCTCACCACCTCTCTGTGCCCTTCTCCATTGCCCAGCCCAGCTCACAGTGGTGGGACCAGGCCACTCTGTCACTGCCACCGTGGGGCAGGATGTCGTGCTGCCCTGCCACTTGTCCCCTCAACACGATGCTCGCACCTTGGAGGTCAGGTGGATCCGGGCCAAGTTCTCTAAGACAGTGCACCACTACCGCAATGGAGAGGACCTGTACGGGGAGCAGATGGGGGCATATGCCGGGAGGACAGAGTTGGCCAGGGATGGTCTCTCTGCTGGAAGCCTGCACTTGCGAATCACGGGGCTGAGACCCTCTGATGATGGCCAGTACGTCTGCACTGTGAGAGATGCTCATGTTTATGACGAAGCCATTGTGGAGCTGGAGGTGGCAGGTTAGTGGCTGGGTTGAGGCATTCAAGGGATGGTGCAGGTGTCCCCGGGTCTGTGTGTCCCACCCAGGACCCGGTCCCATATTCATGGCCATCTACGTGGCCTTGCAAACAGTAGAGTGTGATGAGGCTTCTCCTCTGTCAGTGAGCACTTGTCCACCAAGAAGTACACCTGTGCCCTTGCAGGCTTTTTATTGAGAGAGAGCTGCTTGAATGCAATGATTTAATTCAGTCTCAGGGACCCTATTTGAACTCCATCCCCATGGTGTTGTGTGGACAATGGGCACAGGTTGCTGAGCAGGTCCTTCAGCTGTGCCAACAATAGGTGCGGGTTAGGGGTGAGAGTGGCTCCGTGGAGTGCCCGGTCCCTGAGCCCCTGTGACCATGGCTGTCCTGGGCTGTGTCTGGCATGGGAGCTGATGGGGTCTTTGCCTTGAAATGAATCCCTCCCGAAGCGCAGCCCCAGCCACGTGCTCTTTCCCCAGCCACAGGCACTGACCCCCACCTCTCCCTGGGAGGCTACGAGGCCGGAGGCGTCCGGGTGCTGTGTCGATCGGCCGGCTGGTACCCGCTGCCGCAGCTGCTGTGGAGGGATGCTCGCGGCAGCACCTGCCCTCGGTCTCCCAGACACATTCCCAGGACCAGGAGGGGCTCTTTGAAATCGAAGGCGCCGTCATCATGACCGGGAGCGTGGAGGGGCCCTTGTCCTGCGTGGTCAGGAAAAGCCGCCTCCAGGAGGAACGGGAATCATCCCTGAACATTGCAGGTACAAATGGCACAGCCAGGGTGAGGTGTTCCTGGCCCCTGCACTTGTCCTGACCCAGGAGAAGTTTGGGTCTTGCTCTTCTAACCCCAGCCATGTAAATACAGCCCTTTTCCTTTTGCCTTTTTTCAGCTCCCTTTTTCATAAACGCCCAGCCCTTGATAGTGGTTCTGGTCCTGGTCCTGGTGTTTTTGGCTGTGTCCATTGGCCTCGGTGTTTATCTCTTTCGAAAGCAAGGTAAGCTGGCAGCACAGGGTTGGAGCGCAGGGAGGTGTTCTGCAGGGACCCCCCTGGGTCTGGAGCGGGGCTGAGCCCTGGCCCAGGGAGGTGCATAGGAGGAGGAAGGGAATGTTCTCCTGGGGATGCCAAAGGCCTTCGGATCCTCTTGGGTGGGAGGCCAGGGAGCATGGCTGCAGCGTGGGGCTGGTGGCAAGGCGCAGCCCCCCTGCACATGTTCCCACCCAGCAACCAAGCTGCTCTGCTCACCACCTGTTCCTTCGCCTTTGCTTTTCAGAGGCACAGAGCTGAGAGCTGGGAGAGTCCTTGCAGTCCCTGCCCCCAGCCCCTGGGGAAGTGGTGTCCCTGCGGGAGGGCCTGGTCTGGGTGGGCTCTGGGGGCTTGTGTGCTGGTGGCTCGGGGGTGCTGGAGGAGCAGCTGGAGCCTGGGGTGGGAGTGGGGAGTGCTGGGGCTGGGGCTGCCCTGGGAAGGGGACACGGCTGGGATGGCTGAAAGGAACGGGGATCAAGGTGGGGACGGGGAGCGAGCTGCGGGGCTGTCCCACTCTGCACTGACGCTTCTGGGACAGGGACGTCCTCCACCCGTCCCCATTCACTTCCCTTTTTGTTTTGGTGGCATGGTGCAGAGAGCTGCACAAGTGTCTGTCCTTACTGCTACAAGTCTTGTAAAAGCTGTGCCTCGGTCCTTGTTAGTCTGGTCCCTCTCAATCTGAGAGCAAGACTGTCTGTGCCCACTCACAAGGGCAAAGAAATTTGTGGTCTAGCCATAGAATTAGCCAAGAAATTTGAAGCACTCTTCTCTGAACATGCATTGCGTTTGCTTTCCTTTTCCAGTGAGAAAAGATGCAAAGATTGGTAAGATTCCCTTCATAACCTTTCCTTCATAAACTTGGCTTCTTTCCATGGCAGCAGCCATGGGCTGAGCAGCTCCCCTCTCTCATGCCTTGCTTTTGTCTTCCTTTTCCAGTGGAACAAGCTGCAGAGCTGGGTGAGTGTCACAGAGCTTGGCCTGCATGACATCTCAGTCGAGATGAGTGAGTCGGTCTTCCCCCCCCCCACAACTGAAGGAATTCGGGGTCTTTGGTTTGTAGCAGTCATTGATGAGAAGTAGACTCTATTCATCCATGAATTGCTTTTCTCTTTCGTTTGTAGATGAACAAGCTGCAGAGCTGGGTAAGTCTCGCTCTCCAAATAGAAAAGAAAAAAAAATACTGTGTCTTCTACTTATATTTTCCTTTTCTCTTTCATTTGTAGAGAAACAAGCTGCAGAGCTGGGTAAGTCTCCCGGTGTTCAGACCCAAGGGCAACACCAAGGCGATGTGCAGGGGAGGGTGGGCAGCTGGGACAGAGCAGCCCAGGGCTGGCCCCTCACCCTGCCCACACCCACTGGGCACCAGCCCTGGGCTGTGACCAGCTCTCCTCTCTCCTTCCAGCATGGAGAAAGTTCCTGCTGCCTCACAATACAGGTAGGTGTGCATTGGGTTGCCCTCTACGGGGCTTCTCCTGCCCTTGCTGGGGCATGTTCATGAGCCCAGAGGTGCCCCATCTCCTGCCCCGTGGGGCAGCTCCTGGCCCCGAGCTGGGGAAAGCCTGCCCAGGGCTGAGCTCTGCCCCTAATGGCCTGGCTCCTTCTGTCCCTGCAGTGAAGGTGACCCTGGATCCGGACACGGCTCATCCCTGGCTTGTTGTGTCTCGGGACAACAGCAGTGTGAGACGGGAGCGTAAACGGCAGCAGGTTCCTGACACACCAGAGAGATTTGACCGTTGGTTGTGCGTGCTAGGCCGTGAGGAGTTCATAGAGGGGAGGCACTGCTGGTTGGTGGAGGTGGAGGGAGAGCAGCTACAGTATTCAGGATGGGGTGTGGGGGTGGCCAGGGCTTCTATGGAGAGAAAGAAGTGGATCAACATAATCCCTGAAGAAGGGATCTGGGCTGTGCTGTACTATAACGGGCAGCTCAAGTCTCTCACATCTCCTCCCACCCCCTTGTCCCTGTCCCCTGTCCCCACAAGGATCTGGGTCTGTCTGGACTGTACCCAGGGGCAGGTGTCTTTTATCAACACTGACAATGGGGTCCAGATCTTCACTTTCACAAGAGCCTCCTTCAATGGGGAGAGCATCCGCCCCTGGTTCTGGCTGGGGACAGAGGGAATACAGCTGTGCCTGAGGGACAGCATGCCCAAAACCCTGTCCCCAGCCCTGGGGACGTCCTGTCCTTCTCCATACATTCCTGCATCACCTCTCCTTGGTCCTTCAGGAGCACCACAAGAATGAGGGGCAGTGGGGCCAGGGGCTGCCCCAGGCTCCTCCCTGCTGCTGGAGGAGGGCTGGGATGCTGCAAGCAGGGGCCAGGCCCCTTGCAGCCCCTGGGCTCTGCCCTGCACGCGGCTCCTGTGCTGGGGCACAAGCCCTGCTGGCACCCACGGGTCTCACCCTGCCTCTGAGCCCCAGCGGGCAACACAGCAACTCTCCACGCTCCTCTCCCCTCTGCTTGCACTGCTTGCAGACCCCAGGGCAAGGGATGTGGTCACCGTGTGCTGCCAGCCATTGCAGGCCTCCTTTGCCTCCTAGTTTGGGGTTGATCCTTTCTCTGTGCCTGGTGCTGAGCATGAGCAGCCTGTGGGGGCTCTTTGTTCCCTCCTCTGGAGCACATCTATGCAAGATGCAGCAGCAGGACTGTGTCAAATAAAGTTTTGTACAGGAAGATGGAGTCTGGCAGTGGCATTTCCTGGGTGCTTTGTGTCCTGAGGCCTTGCTGCCTGGGAAGGCGTCTTGCAGCAGACCGTCTCCTCACACGCCTTGCCCTGCAGAGCCTTCGCCCTCCTCGTAGCACTCCCTTGGAGGCCAAGGCCGCCGGCCTCCAGCTGGGGTCCTGCGCCTCTCCACTCACTCCAGTCCTCTGGGAGAGGCTCCTGCAGGCTGATGTGCTGCACCGAGTACGTGTAGGTGTCGCCTGCCACCGGGGCCACCAGCAGGGACACCTGCGTCTGGTAGGTCCAGTCGCCATTGGGGATGGCAGAGATGGGATTGTAGTCGTCGGGCTCCATGATGTCCCCGTTGTGCAGCCAGATGACGGTCACCTCGGGGGGGTAGAAGCCCCAGATGTGGCAGCTGAGGCGCACGGGCACACGGGCGTTCCCTGTCTCCGCGGGGATGATGCAGACTTGGGGCTGCACTGGAGCAGGGATGGGGATGGGGTCAGTGGTGGACGAGCCCCTTTTCCCTGCCATGCGCAACGTCCCCACACAACGTTCCATGAAACGCTCCCGTGAAATGCTCCCATTCAAAGCTCTAGGCATTGTCCCATGTGATGTCTCGTGTGACATCCCCATGCAATGCCCTGTGCAACGCCCCTGTGCCACTCCCTGCTAGAGGCATTGCTCTGTGCAACATCCTCTTGCAAAGGGCAATGCAATGTGCTGTTCAGTGCTGCGTGCAACATCCCCCTGTGACGTCCTCACGCAGTGTGCTCTACAACAACCCCTTGCAATGCCCAGTGCAACATCTTGCCGAGGTGATCAGCTCCAGAGCAAAATCTTTCTGCAGTGGAGCAGGGGATCTGACAGGCAGGGCTATTTTTTTCCAGCATTAGGTCACTTGTGGGAGCCGCCAGGACCCAGCAGCCCTTGCGAGGGAGGCTAAAAAGGTGTAGGCAGAGCCAGAAAGGCCCCGTGCTTGGCTCTTCAAAAGCTGCCCCTGGGAAGCAAGACAACCAGGAACAAGGTGACCAGGATGGGCAAACAGGGCATGGTGCATCAGAAGGGAGTGGCAGGCAATTCATGCAGGCAGGGCGAGAAGGGAGGGCAGAGCGTTCCCCCCCAGACCATACGAACAACTCCTCTAACGGCGGTCTACCACTAGCTAGGCTGCAATTGTCCCCACCAGGCACAGTGCTCTCTCTAGCAAGTCTGTACACACCCAGACTGACTGCCCGCTCAAAAATGCACCAGTTCAGGTCTCTGGGTGCAGGGAGCATCTGAGCCTCTTGCTGCCATCTGTAGGAGGCAGAGAGACTGTGTGTGCGTGAGGTGTGAGCAGGTAGATGACCTGGTCCACCTGGTGGCAGAACTCAAGGAGGAGGTGGAGAAGTTGCGGGCTATCAGGGAGTGTGAGCGGGAATTAGAGTGGTGGGGCAAGTCCCTGCGGGGCCTGAAGGAGAGGTACCGGGGTGAGACACCCCAAATGGGGGTGGACCCCCTCCCCTGTCGCTGTCAAGCAGAGGGAGGGGACCTAGGACTTCAGGAGGAATGGAGACAGGTCCCTGCTCGACATCGTAGGCGATGCCCTCCCCAAAAGGCCCCGCCTTCCCAGGTGCCCTTCCACAACAGGTTTGGAGCTCTGGAGCTTGAGAGACCGGGAGCTGAGGAAGAGGTAGAAAGTGTAGCCAGGAGGATGCCTAGGGTGAGGAAGTCGACTCCACGCCTCAGGACTGCCTCCACCAGGACAGAAAGAAGGGAGATTGCTGTAGGCGACTCCCTTCTCAGGGGAACAAAGGGCCCTAATTGTCAGCCTGACCCTAGCTGTAGGGAAGTCTGCTTCCTCCCTGGGGCCAGGGTCAAGGAAATTGCCAGAAAACTTCCCAACCTCGTTTGCCCCTCTGTCTACTATCCTTTTTTGATAGTCCAGGCTGGCAGTGATGACATTGAAGAGAGAAGCCTGAAGGCTATCAAACAGGACGTTAGGGGACTGGGGCAGTTAGTGGATGGAGCAGGAGTACAGGTGGAGCAGATCTCCACACTGCAGCCCATGGAGGAGCCCCCGGTGCAGGAGGTGGAAGGGGCCTGGAGGAGGCTGCAGCCCATGGAGAACCCCCACAGAAGCAGGCCCCAGGCCAGAGCCACAGCCCATGGAGAGGAGCCCCGGCAGGATCAGGAGGTCTGGAGGAGAGTTGTCATGCATGCACGACCCAGACTGGAACAGTTTGCTCCTGACAGATGTACTCCATACTACAGACCCATACTGGGGCAGTTGCTGGAGAGCTGCTGCCTGTTGGAAGCCCATGT